AAGGGCTACTAGTACCTGAGTTGAAAAAACCTGCTAGAGGAAGATGCAAAAGACCAGAACTGGAAATGAAATTTCTCTCTGCCTGTGTTTAAAGAGGTACTGTAGATTATACAAATTTAGGCTGTAGTTGTATTAGCCTTCCTGGCATTCGTAGATAAACGATTAATGGCCTTCTGGTTTTTTTGTGTTTTTTTTTTTTGAGTTGGAGTCTCACTCTTGTCGCCCAGGCTGGAGTGCAGTGGCACCCTCATAGCCACTGCAACCTCGATCTTTTTGCCTCAGCCTTCGAAGTAGCTAGAACTACAGATGCACACCACCACACCCAGCTGGTTTTTGTGATGTAGAGACGAGATCTCACCAAATTGTCCAGGCTGGTCTCGAACCCCCAGGCTCAGGTAGTCCTCTCACCTCGGCCTCACAAAGTGCTAGGGTTACAGACTGAGCCTCCACGCCCAGCTGATTAACAACCTTTTGAGGGCAGCACATTTAGACTGGCAAAGGCCCCAAAATTTCCACCTCTATTATCCAGTAATATAAAGAGTCCAAAGATAACAGTCAGAGAGGACCAAAGCAATAAACTTGAAAGCAATTACTTATGTTTCTGATTACAGCATTTAGTTTACATGGGATTAAATTTACACTTTTTTTATTAAAACAAAATACTTTAGTAATTATATAACAATCACTAGGATAATTATTGCTGATTGAATGGGACAGATAAGCACATAACCAACAAAGTGTCACTGTTTAGTCATCTTTGAGTAGAAAGCACATAAATGGAGCCATGGATTATTCAAACTTGAACTATGCTCATATATCTTAAAATTTACTTTTTGGGAAATCAAACCAAAATTATAGGTAAGGTTAACTGTACCATACCTGGCAAACTAAATTGATGATGATAAAGCAAAGCTAATTGTAACTTATAATTAAAAAGTGATACTGAGAGTAAATGATAACCAGCAGCCAACTTGTTACAGCACTGATACTGAATGTACAACAAACCACTCTCTGGACAGTGCAGAGTGGAGATATTGCAGCCTCTGTTGGAGGTCCTAGGGAAACTGCAGTGACATGCTCAGTGAATCTTAGGAGCACCAAATTTTATTTACTCAGCATCTCCACAAGTAACCTTGTGAACCTTAGTCATAGTCAGAAATTCTTTATTTTATTTATTTATTTTGAGTTGGAGTCTCCATCGCCCAGACTGGAGTGCAGTGGCACACTCACTGCCACCCCAGCACTGACCTGCTGGGCTCCAGCGATCCTTCTGCCTCGGCCTTCCAAGCAGCCGAAACTATAGGCGCATGCTACCATGCCCAGCTAATTTTTTTTTATTTATTGTAGACACGAGGTCTGGCCAAGTTGCCCAGGCTGGTCTCGAACCCATGGGTTCAGCTGGGATTACAGGCTGAGCCACCAAACCCGGCCACTTTTATGATATTCTACATCATTTGCTGCAAAAAATTGAAGCGTGTGTGTGTGTGTGTGTGTGTATAATAAAGTTGATTCATTATCTGACATTTAAGAGGACCCTTTTGTCCTACCAGTAACTGCATATTATATATTGAGACTCTGCTGTGAAGCTATTATAAACTTGTATTTAGTCAAAGAAGTTAAGACCTGTGGTTGTATGGTCTTAAGTGTAACATGCAGGGAGTGAAAATACAGTGGGAAATATTGAGGGCTTGGAGGAAGTTGGTATATTTTGTCTTTTTTAAAGGCTGCTAAAATGATTAAGGAGATGAAGTCATTTCAGTTGAAAGACAGACTAAAAACATCAGACTCATTGGGTAGGTAAGGGAAGCAGTGGTGCCAAAACCTATAAAGGGTATGAGTGTGGCAATCTGACACTTTTTCAAAAAATTACAAAGCATTAGAACTAGAAAGAACCGCTCGAAACTAAAATAGTTGAAAGACCAGATGCCCTGGCTTATAATCCCAGCACTTTAGGAGGCCAAGGCAGGAGAATTGCTCGAGGCCAGGAGTTCAAGACCAGCCTGGACAACGTAGACCCCATTGCTAAAAAAAAAAAAAAATCTTTAAAAAATTAACCAGGCATTGTGGTGCGCACCTGTAGTCCTAGCTACTCAGAAAGCTGAAGCAGGAGGATCACTTGAGCCCAAGAGGTTGGGGCTGCAGTGAGCTATGATCATACCACTGTGCTCCAGCCTGGACAACACAGCAAGATTCTGTCTCTTAAAAAAAAAGAAAAAAAAAAGATGATTGAAAGGTAAAACAAAGTACAGTGATTCTTTATGCAGTAAAAATGTGAACATGGAGAACTCAGTATTCTCTATAAACCCTTAATAAATAGAGACTTCTGGTTTGCATACAGTGAAATTTGAAGGTTTATTTAGGCTATATAAATTTGTCTGTTTTAATGAATAGAATTGTTTATAAAGTATTAACATTTGTTGTCCACACAATAAATTGTTATGTTGCAAAAAAATAAATAAATAAATAGAGACTTAAGGATGGCTTGGGTAAACTGGTGGGTTTATAAGTTATTCAGCGAAATCCTCCCATGGAGATGGTTACTCCTGAACACCCTCTGTCACTTAGGTATACTAAGACATAATGCTTTTATAGAAAGCACTGTTCTTGTGAGAAATGTGTATAACCTATCTTTTTTGTGTTTAGAGATTTTATTCCCTCAAAGTTGCCCCCAAAGTTAAAGCTACAGCTGCACCTACAGGAGCACCTCCTCATCCTCAGGATCTTGAGGTTAGTCCCACTGAGTTGCTCACTGGAACCCATACATGCCTTACTCTTCTTGGTAATACAAAGACATTAATTATGTCTCTACTTTATTTGAAATACAGTTCACCAAACTACCAAATGGTTTAGTGATTGCTTCTTTGGAAAACTATGCTCCTGCATCAAGAATTGGTTTATTTGTTAAAGCAGGCAGTAGATACTAGGACTCCAACAATTTAGGAACCTCTCATTTGCTGCGTCTTGCATCCAGTTTGGTATGTATAAAACTATTTCACTGTTTGGAAATGCTGTGGTATCTTGGTCCTATGAAAAACAAAAATCAATGTCTCTATATTTGCTTCCTTGAGCTGGTGTAACAAATTACCATGAACTAGGTGGCATAAACAAAAGAAATTTACATTCTCACAGTTGTAGAGGATAGAGGTCAAAGTCTAGGGTGTCTAAGACAAGCCAAGGTATCAGCAGGGCCATGATAGCTTTAAAATCTCTAGAGAAGAATCCTTGGCTTGCCTTTTCCTGGCTTCTGGAGCTTGTCCGCAATCCTTCACGTTCCTTGATTTGCAGCCTCTGCCTTTGTTGTCATGTGGCCTTCCTTCTGTCTATGTCCAAATTTCCCTGTTTTTTTTTTTTTGATTTGGAATCTTACTCTGTCACCCAGACTGGAGTGCAGTGGCCGCTCCCAGCCACCGCAGCCTCGACTTGCTGGGCTCCGGCGATCCTTCCGCCTCAGCCTTCCAAGTAGCTGGAACTACAGGCGCGCAGTACCACGCCCAGCTAATTTTTTGATTTATTGTAGAGATGAGGTCTCGCCCAGTTGCCCAGGTAGGTCTCGAACCCGTGGGCTCAGGCAATCCACTCACCTCAGCCTCCCAAAGCACTGGGATTACAGGCTAAGCCACCGAGCCCGGCGAAGATTTCCCTGTTTTAAGGACACCAGTTCTATTGGATTTAGTGCTCACCCAACTCCAGTATGATATCATCTTAAAAACTTAAATCTGCAAAGACCTTATTTCCAAATAAAACTACTTTCACAGGTTCTGGCTAGCCGTGGATTTTTGAGGAGAGGCACTGTTCAACCCAGTACAGTCCCCTAATATAAAATGAGAAAACATACTACATTTGCCACAGGGAAGCATTAAATTTTTATCCATCTGAATGTTGATGTTAGAGCATAAGAAATCAATTTTTAAAAATTTAGTTTAGTTTAGAAATCAGTAAGAAAATTTTAAAAGATAGCCGAGTGTGGTAGCACGTGCCTGTAGTTCCAGCTACTTGGAAGGCTGAGGCAGAAGGATTGCCAGAGCCCAGCAGGTCGAGGCTGCGGGGTGGCTGGGAGCAGCCACTGCACTCCAGTCTGGCAACAGGGTGAGACTCCAACTCAAAAAAAAAAAAAATTTAAAAGAAAAAGTGCTGAAAGCAAATCACCTTTTTCCCCTATATGCAAGTCGTTTTCAAAATAGACTAATGAATTCAGTAAACTTTTGACAGTGGAATTTTTACATAAATATACTTCATGTAAAAACCTGTATGTATGTTTTTTGCTGAATGTTGTCTTATAATTTTTAAGGCTTTTTAGGGCTCACTAGTAAAAGTCCTTTGGAATCTGCTAATTATAGACAATAGATTTTTATATAATGTGATATCTGGCAAACTTGGCATTGAAAAACTACTGAGAAAATCATTCTTTTTTTTTCAAGACTTCAAAAGGAGCTTCGTCTTTCAAGATAACCCGTGGAATTGAAGCAGTTGGTGGCAAATTAAGGTTTGTTAAATAAATGATAGGAAATAAATAATGAAAACAAGCCGGGCTCGGTGGCTCAGCCTCTAACCCCACACTTTGGGAGGCCGAGGTGAGTGGATTTTCTGAGCCCGTGGGTTCAAGACCCGCCTGGGCAACTTGATGAGACCTCATCTCTACAATAAATCAAAAATTAGCCGGCTTGGTAGCACGTGCTTGTAGTTCCAGCTACTTGGAAGGCTGAGGCAGAAGGATCACTGGAGCCCAGTAGGTCGAGGCTGCAGTGGCTGGGAGCGTGCCACTGCACTCCAGTTTGGGTGACAGAGTAGACTCCAACTCAAAAAAAGAAAAATAGTGAAAACACCAGAAAATGCTCCATTGTAAGGTAACTTTTTTGTTATCAAGATGGTTCAGGATTTCTTAAACAGAGCACAAGAAGGAAAAGACTGATGAATTTGACTATACTAAAATGTAAAACATCTTTATGTTAAAATGTAGGAAACTGCCTGGAAGTAGATATTTGCAGTATACAGGCATACCTTGGAGACATTGCAGGTTTCAGTTCCAGACCATGGCGCTAAAGCAAATATTGTAGCAAAGGGAGTCACACAAAATTTTTGGTTTCCCAGTGCATATAAAAGTTGTATTTACACTATAGTCTACTGAGTGTACAGTAGTATTATGTCTTTAAAAATACATACATACTTTAATTTTAAAACACTTTATTGCTTTAAAAAATTGCTGGCAGTCATCTGAGCCTTCACCAAGTCAATCTTTTTGCTGGTGGAGGATCTTACCTTCATGTTGATGGCTGCTAACTAATCAGGGTGGTGGTTGCTAAAGGTTGAGGTGACTGACGGTTTTTTTTGGTTTTTTTTTTTCTCTTTTGTTTTGAGTCAGAGGCTCATTCTGTAGCCCAGGCTGGAGTGCAGCGGCACACTCACGGCCACTGTGACCTCAGCCTGTTAGACTCAGGCGATCCTTCCACCTCAGCCGTCCAAGTAGCTGGAACCACGGGTGCACACCACCATGCCCAGCTAATTTTTTGATTCATTGTAGCGACAAGGTCTCGCCATGTTGTTCAGACTGGTCTCGATCCTTTGAGTTCAGGCAGTCCTCAACTCTACCTTCCAAAGTGCTGGGATTATAGGTGTGAACCACCATGCCCAGTGACACTTTCTTAAAATAAGACAGCAATAAAGTTTGCTGCATTGATTGACTCTTCTTTCACTAAAAGATTTCTTTGTAGCATGAGATGCTGTTTTATAGCATTTTACTCACAGAACTTCCTTCAAAATTAGAGTTAATCCCCCTAAACCCTGCCGCTTCTTTACCAACTAAGATTACGTAAACCTTTATTGTCATTTCAACAATATTCACAGCATCTTCACAGTAGATTCCATCTCAAGAAACTATTCTCTTTCCTCATCCATAAGAACCAACTCATCTTTTCAAGTTTTATTGTGAGATTGCAGGACTTCAGTCACATCTTCGGGTTCTAGTTCTTCCACATCCTCCACTTCTAGTTCTCTTGCTGTGTCCACCACATCTGCAGTTAATTCATCTACTGAAGTCTTCAGCCCCTCAAAGTCATTAAAGGTTGGAATCAGCTTCTTCCAAACTCCTGTTAATGTTGATATTTTGACCTCCTCTTATTTTTTTTTTTTTTTGAATTGGAGTCTCACTCTGTCACCCAGACTGGAGTGCAGTGGCCGCTCCCGGCCACCGCAGCCTCGACCTGCTGGGCTCTGGTGATCCTTCTGCCTCAGCCTTCCAAGTAGCTGGAACTACAGGCACGTGCTACCACGCCCAGCTCATTTTGATTTATTGTAGAGATGAAGGCTTGCCAAGTTGCCCAGGCAGGTCTCAAACCTGCAGGCTCAGGCAATCCACTCACCTCAGCCTCCCTAAGGCGCAGGATTACAGGCTGAGCCACCAAGCCCGGCTGACCTCCTCTTATTAATCAGGAGTGTTTTTAATGGCATCTAAAGTGAGGAAAACCTTTCCAGAAGGTGTTTTTTGTTTTGTTTTGTTTTTTGTTTTTGAGTTGGAGTCTCACTCGGTCACCCAGGCTGGAGTGCAGTGGCACACTCACAGCCACCCCAGCATCAACCTGCTGTGCTCAAGTGATCCTTCCACCTCAGCCTTCCAAGTAGCCAAAACTACAGGCGCATGCTACCATGCCTGGCTAATGTTTTTATTTCGTGTAGAGACAGCCTCACCGTGTTTCCCAGGCTGTTCTCGAGCCTGTGGGCTCAGGCAATCCTCTCACCTCAGCCTCCCAAAGTGCTTCGATTACAGGCTTGAGCCACGATGCCCAGCCTCCAGAAGGTTTTTGATTAACTTTGTCCAGATCCATTAGAGGAATCACTGTCTATGACTGATATAGCCTTACAAAATGTACTTCTAAATAATAAGACTTGAAAGTAGAAATTACTTCCTGATCCACAGGTTGCAGAATGGCTGCTGTGTTAGCAGACTTGAAAACATTCATCTCCTTGTGTATCTCCATCAGAGCTCCTGGGTGACTAGGTACCTTGTCATTGAGCAGTAATATTTTGAAAGAAATCTTTTTTCTGAGCAGTAAGTCTCAACAGTTGGCTTAAAATATTCAGTTGACCATGCTGTAAACAGATGTAGTGTTATCTAGGCTCTGTTACTCCATTTCTAGAGCACAGGCAGAGTAGATTTAGCATAATTCTTAAGGGCCCCAGGATTTTCAGAATGGTAAATGAGCATTGGCTTCAACTTAAAGTCAGCTGATAATGATTTAACTTCTCTCTGGCCGTGAAAGTGCTAAGTGGCATCTTCCAACATGAAGCTATTTTGTTTACATTTAAAATGTGATATTTAGTATAGCTGCTTTGATCAATAATTTAGCTATATTTTTCGGAATAACTTGCTACAACTTCTCCATCAGCACTTGCTGCTTGACCTTGCACTTTTATGTTATGAAGATGGCTTCTTCCCTTAAACCTCATGGACCGACCTCTTCTGCAGCTTCCTCACCTCTCTCAACCTTCATAGAATTGAAGAGTATTAGGATTGTTTTGGATTAGGCTTTGGATGAAGGGAATATTGTGGCTGGTTTGATCTATCCAGACCACTAAAACTTGCTCCATTATCAGCATGTCTCAATTTTTTATATTTTATGTGTTCACTGGAGTAGCACTTTTAATTTCCTTCAAGAACTTTTCTTTTGCATTAGCAGCTTGGCTGTTTGGTGCAAGAGGCCTAGCTTTTGACCTGTCTCAGTTTTCAACATGCCTTCCTCACTAACCTTAATCACTTCTAGCTTTTGATTTAAAGCAAGACATGCAACTCTTCCTTTCACTTGAACACTTAGGGGCTACTGTAGTGTTATTAATTTGCCTAATAACTGTATTATTGTGTCTCAAGGAATAGGGAGGCCCAAGGAGAGGGAGAGACACAGGGAAATAGCCAACCAGAACACAGATTTCTTGATTAAGTTAACCATCTTATATGGACATAGTTCATGACACCACAAAACAATTACAGTATTAACAACAAAGATCACAGATCATAATAACAAAATAATACAAACGTTTGAAATACCACAAGAATTACCAAGTGATACAGACATGAAGCAAGTACAGGCTGTTGGAAAAATGGGGCTGATAGACTTGCTTGACACAGAATTGCCACAAACCTCCAATTTGCAAAAGTAATAACTCTGGAGCACAGTAAAGTGAAACTCAACAGAACAAGGTATGCCTGTACATAACATGCAGAGGATTACTATTTGAAAAAAAATAAAGAACTACAAATCCAAAAAAAAAAAACCAAAGAGAAAATGGATGGGCAAAGGATAGAAACAGGCTGTTCGCAGGAAAAAAAGCCAGAAACACCAATCTTGTAATAACCAGTGATACCATTTCATACCCATCAGATTTTTTACATATCATGTATTGACAGCAGTAAGATGATAGAGAATCTCATTCTGCTAGTAGGAGTATAAGTTGATATGACTTCTTAGAAAAGAATCTGGAAATATTTAGTAATAGTGAAAAACTCACTGTTTTTAATCCATATGTACAAAGGTATTCTTTATCTTTGTAAAGACTGAAATTTACTAAATGTCTTTGAGAAATGGGTAAAGTATGATAGAGTCATATGATGGGACTACTACACAGCAGCTAAAGAACTAGGTCTATATATCAGCATAGCACAACTTAAAAGCAAAATATTCTTGGTGGCTCAGTCTGTAATCCCAACACTTTGGGAGGCCCAGGCAAGTGGATTGCCTGAACCCGCAGGTTCGAGACCCACCCAGGCAACTTGGCAAAGCCTCGTCTCTACAATAAATCAAAAATTAGCCAGGCATGGTAACGCACGCCTGTAGTTCCAGCTCCTTGGAAGGCTGAGGAGGAAGGATTACCAGGAACCCAGTAGGTCAAGGCTGCAGTGACTGGGAGCATGCCACTGCACTCCAGTCTGGGTGACAGTGAGACTCCAACTCAAAAACAAAAACAAACAACAAACAAAAAAGCAAAATATTATGTGGAAAAGCAAGTTTCAAGTTTTTCTTTTATTTTTTGAAGCATGCATTATAATTTTTTAAGCAAAATAATATTATACAGTACTTATGACTGTGATCGTTTCTAGAGGAATGGGAGTGAGTGAGGGAATCGGCCTGGGAAGGATACAAAAAGATATTCAACTTTATCATTCTTTAAATTGTGGCAAAATCTATGTAAACATAAAATTTGGCGTTTTAAAAAGTACACAGTTATGTGGCATTTAGCAACCATTACCACCGTCCATCTCCAGAGCTTTTTTATCTTCCTCACCTAAAGCTCTACTCATTAAACAATGACTCTTCATTCTCCCCTCCCCTCAGTCCTTGGCAGCCACCATTCTGTTTTCTGTCTCTGTGAATTTGACTACACTAGATACCTTAAATAAGTGGAATCAAACAATATTTGCCCTTTTGCAATGGGCTTATTATTTCACTTAGCAAAATATCATCAAGGTTCAACTGTGTTGTAACATGGGACAGAATTT